GAAACAAAACACAAACCCTAAGAGTTTAAGTTTATAAAGAACAAATTGTGAAACAAACGGTGAGCAAGTAAAACAAAACACAAACCCTAAGAGTTTAAGTTTAGAAAGAACAAATTGTGAAAAAATGGTGAGCAAGTAAAAACTTTTTGGTTTGATTCAAAGCCACATCTGAGGTTTTTTTAAAAAACTCAAAGACCTTTTACAACAACAAAAGCTTCAAGTTGACCCCCAACAAGAAACTTCGGGATGTAAGGGATGATTTTGAAAAGTCTTTGAATCCAAAAGTTGAGATGAAATCCTCAGAACCCAAAAGAATGTATGCAGTGAAGTCGAAGCCCCAGCCAAAGGTCTTGACGCCCAAGTTGGAACAGGATGATTCCGATTCTTATGAATATGACATAATATGACTATGAGTATTCTCCCACTGGTTTCATGGCCGTGCGTTTTGATTCCAACGTTGATTTGACAGTCCATCCTGATGAGAGGAGGACTATGAGCAAGAAACACAGGAAGATGGTATTGGAAGGTATCAACAATCTCAACAACCATGATCGTGTGATGCAATCCAGTCTTGGGATGCAGCCTCAAATTTCCAATGGAACTTCAGGGGTTGCAGTCATCACGTCACACCCGACTCTTTTCCAGGATCTTTTTGAGCACACCTATGACGTCGGTGTGAATGCCGCGTATTTGGACGGCGATGCTGAGCCACGTGGTTGGAGTGACATGTTCGAGGGTTGCACATTGATCATTGTTGCAATTGAGTACAGTTCAGAACATTATCCACTGTGTCATGGGGATCTTGTATTTGAGTTGGAACAGTATTGTGATGCCACAGGGTGTAGATTTCTCATTGTTGATGTCGCGCACACTGAACGATGGGAATCATTCAAAACACCACAGATTCCATATATCAACGAAGTTGGTCTTGCTTTTGTGTCAAATGATGATGAACTCATTCAAGGTTTTCAAGACTGGTCTATGTATCGACAATTGGATGACGTTTTGAATTGGGAGTTTTGTCAATGGATTCGTGATTGGTCACTTGAGCGTGAATTGGAGGATCAGATGAGCGTTGCTTTCCCAGCAGAGATCATTGAAGAGGCTCAGGAACATGGTGGGAACTGGGATGCAGTCGATGGCCCAGAAGATGTTGCACTGCAGGATCCGGTTGAGGACCTGACACATGAAGAGACTCTTTTAGATGATGTTGATATCCCTGGTTTGCCAGAGGATGAATCAGAAAGACGTAGGTCTTGGCGTAAACTTCCCCAGCGTGTCAGGATTGCTGTGCGTAGGTTGCACAGGGCTTTTGGACACGTCCCCAAGTCGGTGATGGTCAATTTGGTGCGTGCTGCAAAGGTGAGCAAGGAGTTTGTTGATGCAGTGAAATTACATAGATGTGAAACATGTGAGAAAACATCAGCAAAGAAACCCACTCACAAAGTTACGCTTCCAAGTGATTATACATTCAACCATACTTTGGGGATTGATGTACTGGAGTTGACAGATGTAACTGGGCAGAAGTATCAAGTTCTCAACATGGTTTGCATTGGTACTTGTTTTCAACAGGCCGAGGTCGTGAAGGTTGGAGCAGGTCAAGCTTCTTCGCGATCCTGTTTGGACGCACTTATCAAACGTTGGTTCAGTTGGGCAGGACATCCTGTTGCTATCATGTGTGACCGTGGATTGCACAATCGTGGTGTCTTGCAACAGTACATGGATGAACACAACATTCAAGTGCACCATGTGCCCCTTGAGAGCCCGGAATCATTGGGCCGAGTAGAGAGGCATGGTGGTTTGTTGAAAGCTCTTTTCAGGCGAGTGTGTACAGAAGTTGGGGCTTGCACCAAAGAACAGGTTGAGTCGTGCATCACACAGGTGCTTGGTGTGAAGAACGACTCTGCGCGTGTTAGAGGTTTTTCTCCATCTCAGTGGGTGCTTGGTCGAGCTCCCCGTGGTGTAGCTTCACTCATGTCTGAGGAAGACCATGCACAGCTCGGAGCCATTCAGGCCCGACATGATCCTTCATCAATTTTTGTTGGCCAGGATTGAGGCACAAAAGGCATTTGTTCATCTTGATTGTTCAAGAAGAGTTCAGAGAGCGTTGACACGCAATGCCAGTGTGTTTGGCCGTGAGTTCAACATTGGTGATCTCGTCACTTTCAGACGAGACAATCAACGAGGAGGAACGTCCTGGTCACCAACATGCCGTGTGATCGGACACGAGAACCAGAAGAACATATGGTTACTATGTGGTAACGTTCCAGTACTTGTAGCTTCTCACAACATACGCATTGCTTCTCCTTCTGAGGCTCTTGCTCAATCAGTGTTGAATGGTGAACCTGTGATTCCATACAAGATCATCAATGATACAGGTCAACAAGCGCTTCTTGATGCAAGGCAAGCAGATGAGGTTGAAGTTGTTCGTGAAGGTCCAGGACAAGCAGACGATGTTGAAGTTGTCCATGAGGACAATGCACTTCCCCCTATACCAGAAGTACCTGAAGATGAATGGGACATACGGCCCGGTTTCTTTGAAGAAGATGAGGAGGAGGAAGATACAGGTCCAATGGAAGAAGACATCTTCTCACAGAGTAGAACCCCAGAGAGAAGAGTTGAAAGACCACATCCAGGAGATGGATGTCATGAACGCAACGTGAGACCTCGAGTAGAGTCTCAGTTACAACCTGAGTCGGAGAGAGGCTCATCACTTGTGCCATCTCGAAGAGACTCCTTTGTGCCTGATCTTACTCCAAGTGGCTCCGTTTCGGGGGCGCCACCTTTTAGTAGTTCAGTTTCAGGTGCATTAGCTTCATCGTCAGCGTCATCTTGGCCATTGCGAAGGGAACTTTTGAATGACTTACCACATCAATTGCGGACACATCTTGAAAGAGCTCGTGAGAGAGACTCAGAACGAAGTCCTGAAGAACGACAAGAAGCACGAGCATTGTTTGCATCATTTTTGTCCCAGGAAGTTGATGGAGTTCCTGAGGACGAGGAGCTAGGCAAGAAAGTGTTGAAATCAATCCACTATGAATCAGCGCCACCTGATGTACAGAAGAACATCATGGATGCCAGAACCAAGGAGTGGAACAAGTTCCTTGAGTTCGCTGCTGTTGTTGAAATTTCAAAAGAAGATGCTGAGAGGTTGATTGCTGAAGGGCATCAATGTATTCCTAGCAAGTGGGTTGATGTTGATAAGAACCAATTTATGAAAGGAAGAACAGACCAAGAATATGTGCCTAAGTTCAAAAGCCGGTTGGTGTCATGCGGCAATTTCGAAGTCAGTGAAGGTCTGAGATCAGACAGTCCTACAGCAGACACAGAAGCTCACAACATTCTTTGCTGTTGGGCGGCGATCCAGGGTGCACACTTGCACAGTGCGGACGTCGCATCCGCATATTTTCAAGGTCGTCCTCTTGACAGAGTCCTCATTATGAGACAACCCCGAGGAGGTCTCCCGGGAGTTGATCCAGAGGTGTTTTTCCTTGTGAGAGTGCCTGTGTATGGATTAACTGACAGCGGTCGAGGTTTTTGGTTGAGACTGGACGGAGATGCCCGATCCAGTGGCTTGAAGCAATCCAAGTTTTACCCAGGATTGTATTTTCTTCCAGGAACAGACAAAGATTGCGTTGCACTTATGGCGACTCATGTGGATGACATCTTGTACGCATACATTCCTGAGGGAAAGTCAGTGATCGACAGCTTCTTGGAGAAGTTCAACTTGGGATCTAGTGAATCAAATTCGTTTCGCTATTGTGGCAAGCAATTTGAGCGTACTGCAGATGGAACAATCACTCAAGACACTTGCGACAACACCCGTCGCATCAAGCCGATCAAGATCGCGCCAGGAAGATCAGCGTCCGAGCCGTTGCGTAAGGATGATGTGACCCGATTACGATCTGTAACGGGATCATTGGCATGGGTGGCAAGACAGACTAGACCCGATTTGGGTTATCGTGTGAGCCGCCTACAGTCCAGTATTTCTGGAGCGACAGTTGCTATTTTGCACGACGCAAATGCCGTAGTACAGCTGGCACAACAAGGCATTGAGAACAAGCTCATTTTTCCAGGTGGACATCTAACCTGGGGAGAGGTTGGTATCATTACAGTAACAGATGCTTCATTTTCAAACGAGAAGAACTACAAATCACAACAAGGACGTTTCCATTTTCTTGGAGACATCAATGAGATCAAAGACCCCAAGACTACATCCTACAGGGTGATGCCATTGGGATTTGCATCAAATACAATTCGGCGAGTATGCCGCAGCACTCTTCAATGCGAAGCTTATTCACTGCAGGCTAGACAAGAGAGCGGTGACAAGCTACGTGGAGCATTGGCCGAGCTGATGGGCCAACTTGACTCGATGAAAACATGGTTGGATGACAGCCGCAGCTGTATTCCACAACTGATGCTTTCAGACTGCAGGTCTTTAACAGACCATCTTGCGAATGAGGTACTTGGCAGGGTCGCAGACAAACGACGCGGCATTGAGTTGCAGTCGATTCACGAGTCACTTTGGCAAGACGGCCGGAGGACTTGGGATATGCATCATGGCGGAGGAGACATCGTTACCTGGATTGCTACAGGGACTATGGTCTCGGATGCTCTAACCAAGAGCATGCGCCCGGACCTCATTATCCGCGTCTTGAAGGAGCGCATTTATCGTGTACAGAAGAAGCCTTAGAGCCAACTTTTTCACTAGCATCATGTGATCCTTGAAGAACAGGTTGAGTGTGAGTTTGACCTGTCTAATGTATATTTTGTATAGCCAAGTGATCACATGCCCCCGATGACATTTGGCTTTAGGGCCCTTGAGTCATACCGCGCTGCCGTGGTAAAAGTTGGGCACTAACGATCCCGTTTCCAATTCAGACAGGTACTACTGTAACACTATACAGATACACTTCATGCGTTGGATAAATCCGATTAGCGATATTCATTGATGTTCGTATGTGGCATGTCCCAGATGCAGGATATCATCGACAGAGTTGATGGCTATGCCGTTCTTCGCACGCAAGTTCGAAGAACAGGTAGCCATCAACCCGGGAGAATGCGCGGCACAGCTGCGCGTCTCTGAGAAGAATTTCGTTGCAGAATCTGCAACAAAATTCTTCTCCGAGACGGGGCAAGTCTCTTGCACAGCTGGGTGCAGGTCACGCTTGTCTGCCGGAGGGTTTAGTCACATGGTGTCACCAGAAGTGTGGGACAAGCCAGCAAGATATCGGGAAAATCGGGAATGACTGAGACTTAGACGTGCTACTTGTGAATTTGAGACGCTGATCCGCGCCTGCAGTTTCGACCCCATGTCCAGTGGTCAACAAGATAAGATGCCTTCAGAGGATATCTTTGCGATGGAGGTGACAGGTTCCTGGCGCCTTGGTTTGTCATGGTCCCTTTGACGTTTAGCGCATTCAGCCACTATTTGTCCCGGCAAAGAAGATAGATTTGGTTTCCGGGGATGCCGGAGATGGTTCACTTTAATCCTATATATTTTCCTTTTTTTTTTTTCCATTTTTTGGACTTGAGAACCCCAGCAATTTATCCAACCGGGTGACAATATCATTGCCAAGAACGGAGTGCGCATGCAGAGGTTATGTCAAAGCTGGATTCCACTACGAATCAAGCAGAAGCGCCCAATGGAGAAAGAAAGGGCATCACGCATCAGACTGGCAGAGATGGAAGAAGGTGCCAACTTGGTCAATGGGCGTTCCCAAAAGACACACCAACACTGGAAATAGTAGGGATTCGGATTTTTTGGGCATCCCTGTGACTTTCAGTTTTTTTGTTAGAACATGTGCAAAAGTGCATTTTTCTGGTTGACAGGTGGGAAAGCTGGTGAACACACGCCACTGACTGCGCTAGTTTTTGTACTATTGTGTGTCTATTTGATAATAATGTTTTGTTTTGACCTGCAATGTTTTCTTTGATGCCTCACACACTCAAACTCTTTGTCTATAAAAAACATTGCAATAGCTTGAACCCAGTAGCTTTTCAGGATGTGGGATAGAATTTGACCTTTGCCAAGGTGCACTGGCATGCATATGACAAGAAGGCCCCGGTCGCACAGTAGAATCCCTCAATGTTCTTTCGCTTGCCAGCATCGATGCTGAGAGGTACCAGTGATATGCTTGGCAAGGCGTGTCCCTGGTGCTTCTCAATATGCTGGCAAGCGGATACGCCTTAACAAACCGCAGGTGTCACCGCGCAACAGCCAAAGAAGCTACCTGCGCCATGTAAAAACGAGTCCTGATGTAGAGTTGGGTAAGCTGATTATATATATATATATCTATTTAAATATTGCTGAAATTTGTTGACTTGGGATCATCCTTCATACGAAACCCCTTTCGGCAAATTGAACTTAAGGGCCGTCCCCCATTCGGAAAAATATGTCAAACATCACATGAAGAAACAATTCAATTTGCTTCATGGATGATTCGATTTGGACGCGCATGGCGAATTCGCAAAACAATCATTTCTCCTTAAGTTCCATGGGATCCGGTAGGCAATCGGATGATATGCCTACCCCAAATTTGGGTACCCATAGACCCACGAGGTCACACTCAAACTTGTTTCACCCATGATCAGCACGTAAAGCGACCCAACTTGTGGGTGAATCGGTAATCCCAGGAACCCAAGACAACCTTGGTTGGGTTAGACGGTTAGTTTGCTGATGTAATTTTTTGCCACAAGTGGAAAGCCTATCTGCTATGCCCAGCCTTACCATGATCTGGCCGTCATGTTGTGAGGCGGGATTTGTTGCCGCTCATCACCCTGCAGGAGATCAAAGGCGTGCCGCTTGGGCCTGATATGGCCTGATGATCCACATCCAGCAAGGGTTGGTAACTGTCCCATTTTGGGTATATTGGACATCACCTTATAGTAGCCATTATAGACCATATACCTAATGGTTGGGTGATGTTCAATGGGGACATTTAATGACCCATGTCCAGATGTCTTTTTTGTGGCATGGCCTGTTGTAATTTTGATCCCCGAGATGGTGCATCAGCCCCCCTGTGCGGAGGCACCTTGCGATGTCTGGATGCAGGCATGGCCAGGGTCCACATCGACATTTGGACCCGAGCATGTATCCAGAACTGGGCGTTGAACATGATTTTGTCTGGACATTGATGGAGATTTAGATAATTAGAGCACCCCATTCAAGTCTATGAAAAATTGTAGCTGCGGGAAGCATTGCAAGTTCCAACAAGGTGTTTCTCTCAGGGAGCATAGGATTTGCTCCCAACATCTGCTTGATAGCTTGGAAGTATCCGGCCAAAATTGTGTATACTTAATTCTATTTGGTCTCAGATGCATTTCCGGATGATCTTCCTATAAGAGATCGAATTTCCATTGGGAACCTTCCCATCTTCCACCATTTTACCGTCCCCTGAGGTGGTGCCAGCCTCTTTTTGCTGGAGCCAGAGGAGCCGGCTGTCAATGCCTCAGAGGCGGTCAGTGGGATGCCTTGATTTGACAGCTTCGCCGGCTTCGCCCAAGGAACGCCCCGAACCTGCAGGCACCGGATGTCTTGTCATGGGCCAAGTGCAAGGGTGCAAGGGTATGCCAGGGTATGCCTTATGGGGGATATGGGATTCCCGCATATTCCCGCAATGATTAGGATTACTACCGACATCAATGTTTGAGTCAATGACTGACATCCCCCAATGACTGACACCCTTATGTCATCCTTATGGGATCCATTGTTCCTTGGATGAGTCAATGATTTTTCGTCTTTGCCCAGCAGCATCTGGCCAGTTAGCCCTACCAAAGCCGGGCCGCTACCAGAGGCCCGGACTGCAGCTGAGGAACAACAGTGGCCATCTGAGCCATCTTCACCAAATTTGGCATCAGTTTGCATGAATTTTTGGGGTGTAACCCATTTCATAGACCCCAACTGGGTATGGTTTTGTGAAAGAAAACAACACGTATGATTTTATCCATCATTACTGTCGCATAATTGGGTGATAACTATTTGGTGAATCCAATATTATCATCCCATAATTCTCTCCTTTTTTCTATGGATTTCCCACTTTTCTTTTCGGCCATGGGCCATGTTGCTGGCCAGGGCGCCGCAGCCGAGAAGTGCGCCGGTTGCCACCTGGTTGCACCAAAATGGCAGATGGAGGGATGAAGGTCCACAGCAGCTGTTTACTGACCCATCCCAGGTGACAACGCCCTGGCAGTGGATGCCAACTTTTGTGGCAGCTGTGGCACCCAGCGCAAGGCGCTGGTGCCTGACTTTGGTTCAAGAACCCGTTGAATTGGGATTTGAGTCTTGTACATCCCCATGGACAACTCTACTTTTAGAGGGGGGGGTGGTAATACATTAAAATTTTCTAAGTAGGGCTAAGTATGGTTAAATGATAGGGTTTCGCGCTTCATCCCAGAGCAGCAAAAGGGGGCAAACATGGGTTTCAATCCAGCGTGTCCTTATTCCATACCGATGCCACAAGAGTCGGGCCCCGAACTTCGGGCCCCGAACAGATTGCCCCCAGGCAACTTTGTAGCAAAGGCATGTACGTAGAAGCACATGTATGTGAATTCTGATGATGTAATCAAATGTTTTTTGGCATACCTGTGCCACAAGAGTCGGGCCCCGAATTTCGGGCTCCGAACAGATTGCCCCCAGGCAACTTTGTAGCAAAGGCATGTAGAAGCACATGTATGTGAACTCTGATGATGTAATCAAATGTTTTTTGGCGTACCTGTGCCACAAGAGTCGGGCCCCGAACTTCGGGCCCCGAACTTCGGGCCCCGAACAGAGTGCCCCCAGGCAACTTTGTAGCAAAGGCATGTAGAAGCACATGTATGTGAACGATGATGTAATCAAATGCTTTTTGGCATACCTATGCCACAAGAGTCGGGCCCCGAACTTCGGGCCCCGAATGGGGTGCCCCCCAGGCAACTTTGTAGCAAAGGCATGTAGAAGCACATGTATGTGAACTCTGATGATGTAATCAAATGTTTTTTGGCATACCTGTGCCACAAGAGCCAGGCCCCAGGCAACTTGTAGCAAAGACATGTGGAAGACTACGTATGTGAGCTTTGATGTGCTGACTCTCATTTCAGATGCCTTTGAGCATATCACTCAAGCATGAAGATGCCCGAGCAAACAAACGTTATCGTTTGAGCGAAGATCAATTCAAGAAGATTGCTTTGTATGATGGCCTGGTGCAGGATGATGATATATTTCCAATGTTTCGGCGGGTGCGACAATGTCCTTCTATGGTGTCTCCGCAAGGACCATCCTTGAATGCTAGATGACATTAAATGACTGCCTTTAGTTATGGACTAGCTTTGCCTTGGCTAAATCCTGAGGATTTAAACGAGGCAGAGGGAAATATGGCGAGGCAACCTGTGTTGACTTGCTGAAAAGAGTCCTGCCTTGCTTAAATCCTCAGGATTTAAACGAGGCAAACTGGAATTTGAGGCGAAAAGTTTGCCTCGTTTAAATCCTGAGGATTTAAGCAAGGCAGGACTCTTTTCAGCAAGTCAACACAGGTTGCCTCGCCATATTTCCCTCTGCCTCGTTTAAATCCTCAGGATTTAGCCAAGGCAAAGCTAGTCCATAACTAAAGGCAGTCATGTAATGTCATCTAGCATTCAAGGATGGTCCTTGTGGGAGACACCATAGAAGGACTAACAGCATTCAAGGATAGTCTCTGTGGGATTCAGATAGAAGGACATTGGCAATTGATTTAGGATTCTATCATCATCCCTGTCGGAGAAAGCCATTGTCAATTGATTCAATTCAAGGATAATCCTGGTAGGAGAAAACCATTGTCATTCCTACAGGTACTGACGTCCCGGGCGCCTTGTAGCTCACCTTTCAGAAGGGACACCAAAGGGGGCTGTGCCTTGCACGCCCTTCACTACTTTCTGACATGGCAATCAGGATCCGGGCCAAGTACCAAACCCGAGGGAAGGCGGAAGCAATGTGGCTAGGGTTGAAAGAAGCTGCATCACCATGCATCTCTGAATTCGGATCACTTCCCCGCTTTCTTGATGACTTGGATCTTCTTTCTTCTCTGACTCTCTCTTCTCTGACACTCTCTCTTCTGACTGCAGGATGAGACTTTGAATGGTGAAGAGCTGATTCCCATTTCCGTCTGGGAGATTGACAGTAGATTCTTGTTGCTTCCAGAGCACAGAGCCCGAGACGGAGCGGAAGGCTTGAGGGAAGAGGAGCAGTGGTACCCGGCAACCCGGCGACCCGGCAACCCGGCGACCCGGCAACCCGGCAACCTATAATAGAAAACGAGGAGAGTAGAGGAGAGAGAGAAAGAGAGCCGAGAGGATAGAGTAACGTAGAGAAACAAAAAAGGCTGAGAGGAAAGAAATGGAATGAAATGGAAAGAGAAAAGGGGTTAAAAAGACATAAAAAGACTACAGGGAACAAAAAGAGAAAACAGGAAACAAAAGATAATGAAAGAAGAGGAAAAGATAGAGAATGCAAGAGTAAAGCGGAGGAACCCGGCAACAGAGGAAAAGATCATGTTAAATATATTTAAATATACCATACCAAAAGAAACCTTACATTTCCTCAGGTTTTCCAAATTTATGTATTATCAAATGGGGGTACACCCCCCTCCAATACAAAAGTTAAGTCATGGGGATTCTTGTACAAAAGTTTGCATGGTCATGACTCTAAATTGTAGTATTGAGACAGCTAGATACCTCCAGATTCCATCCTCTGCACTGCTTTGGATTCTTCATTTGAGGAAGTAGCCAATCGCCACCCACACCATATGGAGTTGCTAGGATTCTTAGCCCGCAAATTAAATACGGATTCTTGACCTTAAAATTTTAAATGTAATGGTCAACACAGTTTTTCCCCTTAACTTGCTATGAATGGCCCAGGGGTATGCCCCATTTTTTTTGGCAATGCCCACATAGATCACAGTCATCCTGCCCATTTAGATCTCCTGATGGCGAGTTTACATGGGATGCGTTTGTCCTTGTCCTCGAATTGATATTTGGGGATCTTCAAACAATTCCGCAGATTGGGTTTTATAAGATTGAAACAAATCCATGGGTATGTATAAAGTATAATATATCTTCTGTAATGTGCTATCATACTATCTATTAGTGATACGCATTGCAATAATGTTTAATCTATCTACCTACATATCTATCTAGCTAGCTATAGATCTTCACCATGCCCCCTGCGCCGGGCCAGGAGCTACGCAAAAAAGAGGATGCTAGGACACCAACAATTTGGGTTCAAATATTGGGAGATTTGCCCACCATTTAGATCCATTGATGCCGATTTTCATTTGAAGAATGAGCTTTTGAATCCGATTTTTGGGGTACCCTCTTTTCAGACAAACCCATTTCTAGCACGATTTCCTTTTCACATTTTGTTCGGCTGGCAGATTGTCTTCTCAGAAAAAGGACACTGTTGATGTTGTTGCTTGTTAGACTGTTATTCCTTAGAGTTTCTTTAGAGTTCTGGCTAGTGATTGCCCTGAAATCACTATAGTAGCAACTATTGGGATTTAAATAGCCATATGGGTATGGATCAATACCTATTAATACCATTTTTAGGGGGATGAACATCCATGAATCCCAGCTATTTTGATGTGAACAGAAGGGGTACTATTGGTTTTGACACACTGCCATATAGTTTCTAATGGTGATTCATAGTGATTATTAATGATAGTTGGATGATTAGTGGAACGGTGATAAATCTGGGTAAATAGCCATATAACAATATAAAACTATTGATGTCAATGTGTTACTTCAATTCCCAAAAAGAAGTTGCTCCCCAGGAGCCCCGGAGCCGCGGCACCTTCAGCACCTTCGGCACCTTCGGCAGCGGCGCTGCCGGCGGAAGCCGCTGGCAAGGGGAAGGAGGATGCAGGTGGGGATGGGACGCAGCAGCCAGGTTTTTAGCGGGAAAAGGTGCTTGTCCTGTTTCATTTTTTTTAAAATAGAATTGGAGGATGGTTTCCATCTATGAACCTATTTCTTTTTCCGAACCGTTTGTTTTTTTTGGATGTTTTCGTTTTTTGTAAGATAAAGCAATTCAAAAGATCTTCTGAGCCGCTTTTGCTAAAATGGGACGGTGATGATTACAAACATGGATTGAAATGGTGGTGAAATGAAGTGGTTGGTTCATACCCCCAGAAGAGGGCATGTTTCTAGTTGCAGGAAATATGTGCAGAAGCCAAACTGTCAAGTTCCAGGTAGAAGTTGGTTTCCTCCAGTGCCTCGCCAGGAAGTCACATGGAAAGCACCATGAAATCAGCTGGCAAGGTGCACTGTTGCAAATCCCGTGCGGAGAATTTCTTCCAAGCTGGAAGGAGGTGAGATCAGTCTCATTTCATATCTTGAACCTGGCGCATGTGGTAAGCCGCTAAGCCCAATTTTCATGAATCCCCACTTGGGGTGTGTGAGAAAAGCACCAATTTCTCGTAAACATTGGGGGATGCAGTACCTTTGGGAATCCCGTGCTGGAATCCAGGAAGAAGATGCGGAGATGAGCCAGTTCTTAAGCTCCCTGCAGCGCAAACGCCCAGCGAAATGGGCAGCTGGTGGTGTGCAAGAACTTTTTTTTGACCTTCAATTCTATGGTGCTTTTTTTGGTTGCCTTTCTTGGCAGAGGTCAAACTAGATTATACCCCACAAAAAACGACTGTACCACCAGCTTTGCCATTCTGCTTTGCAAGCTCAGAGGGACCGGTTGAACCATGTTGCTTCTCTCTTGAGCAATATAAGCGATCCCTCTTCGTTTTGTCCGAGTAGAATAGCCATTCCACCCCAGTTGAAAGCTGTCTTGACTAGTGCCAGGGAGGATTGTGTTTCAGGGGACCCATCAATGTTTCACAGTGGATTGGACTAATGTAATTGTAGTAGACATTACCATCATTAGCTTTCATCCATTCATGTTGAACTTAAATCACATTTCTTTTTGCTTAAATCTCTTTAAATTACAGTATCATTTTGATAGTTGAACCCCATCAAATACTGTAACCATGATGGTTGCTTTTAATCCATCATTTTGATGCTTTAACCCCATTAAATCTCAATTTTTGATGGTTTCACCCAATCAAATCACCATTTTTCAAGCCCCGGACTTGGGAACTTGATCTGGTTCCAAGGTATTCTGACAGCAGTGGTCGCACACCCAGCACGGTGACGGACGGCCGCGGGGAGTCCAAGGAGTCAAAGTGGTGTGGGAATCGGGGGGTTTCTACGGGATGAAGTTGAAGAATAGGGATGGTGAAATATTTTCGAAGATGAAGTATATCTCATGTCTAGATTGTCTAGATTGAGTCTAGATGGTGGATTTGCGAAGATTTTTTCCGATCTCTAGGTGAATCAACGGGCCACTGAAGTGGCATTGTGTGGATGATTGAGAACTGTTTGAGCGGTTCAAAGTCAAGCAAGGAAGAAGTCTTGGGTGTTCAGCCTGACAAAAAAAAGGTCTTAAGTGCCCAACCAACAAAGTTGCGCAAATGTCTTCCAAAATTCCCAGATGTCCAGCTTGAAAATAATTGACTTGGCTTATCATTTTCCTATTTGGATGCCAAGAGCGGATAACCCTGAGAATGGTTGACTAGAACAACCCCCCTCGGAAGAGTCAACGGGTCGCGAATGTTCCTATATACATCTATGATCATATATGGGTTTGTTTGAACATCCTCGCGAAGTTGATGCAAAAAATCATCATTCTCCGTGTTGAAATTATCATTTTGAGCAACCGCAGCCGCCCATAGCAGAAACGAGACGCTCCCAATCAGAAAAAGAAATCCTTTTTTTTCCGGATTCTCTCAGTGTTGAGGGATTGTGCTTTGCTTGTCGAAGTTTTCTCCCCAGAGATTCATCAGCCAATCCTGGAAACTCTTGGTGGCTCACGGGGAAGCCGGTCTCAGGCACTCAAAGGCGACCGAGCCAGGCGTCGAGTCGTCGAGCTTCCAATCTCAATGCGTCGTGGTGAAGTGAATAGAATGAACCAAGAGAATCTGATCATATATTACCCTCTGGTAAACTAACATAGCTATTGAAAATGGCCATTTCATTTACAGTTGATTTTCCCATTAAAAATGGTGATTTCCCATAGTTATGTTAGTTTACCAGAGGGTATCCAACTTCACTGTTTAGATCATGATAGATCATGTATCTAGTGTAGTTGGGCTACATTCTACGGGACTATACGGGACTCCAGGATGGCCCATTCTAAATGAACCTGTAGTCGTATATCCTGTATATGGATTCTGCATACAACTGTACACAGAAATGAATTCATAAGTAACTAGCTAACTAGTAACTAGATCAAAAAAAGTACTCACACTACTAGTTATTATAGATATCTATAGAATATACCATCTGGTTATTTAACATAGCCATGGAAAATCACCACTTTTAATAGGTAAACCATCACTCTGTGTATGTTCAAGGCATCCCCACAAAGAACATGCCATTCATTCGCGCCACAGGGTTTCGGCAAAGTCGTGGATCTTGGCGCGGAGTTGAAGCAGGGGATCCCAGAGTGGGAATGGATATGACAACTGGGGGTACCCCCATGACTTAGGAAAGCTCCATACAGAAAATTGGGAACAATGTGAGATATCAGCAGCTTGAGAATCGATTTTTGAGTCTGAACATGGGATATTCACCCCCAAGCTATGGCATTTTGAGAGTGAACATTGTGACTTACCTGTGGAATCCTGTGGATGTGAGACACCCCCAATTTGAAGACACACCCATGTCACAGGATCTCTGAATCAGTTTTCTCATGTGATTTGTACACATCTGTTGCAATGCATGAGGCATCATGAAACAATCTACTTTAATAGCAGTCTTTTTTCACCCCGAGCCCGCAATTGCGTGCGCGGCACGATCCGCTTGAGCGCCGGCCTGAACCCTGGGTCTATTCAGCCAAAAGATGCGAAGTGGAAACCACATCAAAATCAAATAAAATAAGACAAACAAAAAACACCGCCGTCAAACTTCATTGTCTTCACTCAGCTCAAATCAAAACAGGGAGGACCGTGAAGTCCAATCAAATAAAAACCCACCCAAGAACAATCGAAAAACCAACAAACAAAAAGAAAAACCAGAACACTTCAAAAGATCCACCTTCTGGCACCTTAGTTGGCAGGAGGACAAGACATGGAAAAAGTATGGCATCGCAACACTCCGTCCAGAAGACATGAAACAACTCTTCCAAAAACTCAAAAACAAATCAAGTGGAATCACATCCAAGGGAAACCCTCAGCAAGTGCAAATTCAAATTTGCTCCTGCTTCACTGCTCCCATCACGTAACCAGCACAAAAAAAAAAGAGACAAGAAAAATAACACCAATGCAGCTTATGACTGGAGGTGCAAACTGCCACGGACCCTAGGAGACTGCAACACAGCCTCAACCGCATGGGAAAACTGCTGGCCAAACTTGAGCGCCACTAGTGAGACCGCACTCACGCTCACTAAGCTCAGTTGGGACACGAGATGGGCGCCAGTAAAAGCATCCATCAAAGCAGTGAAATCCCGCTCTGTGACAGCCAAAATGTACCAAGCATTCCACCAACGCCAGAAACTGCATGCCGCTGGGGGCCACATGCTGCCGCATTCCCATGGCGTGTGCGAAGGACACACGCACCAGCACAGCAGGAAACCCAAAGCCACTCCCAGCGTCAAGGCCAGCCATTGCATCCGGCACCTTCAGCAAGGCAAGGCATCCCTTGCCAGCTGCAGCACTTTTTGGATAGCAGGAGCTTTCCTACTTGGAATCTCAGGCTCTGGAATCCTGGTAGACAAAAACTGCTTCAAGACGGGCAAAGTTTTTCCATTAAGCTGATCTTCGATATCATGCCATGTATGCACCTTTCCCACATCCACCAGTGGCGTCACCTCTCCATCTGACATGAAAGACAGCAAGGTCTTGAGATGAGACTGTGCCTTTGGCGTGAGTTGCTCACAGGCACGTGTCGCAGGTAGCTTAGCTGGAGTAACTGGCTCAGAACTTGGCTTCAAAGTTTTTTTGAGCTTCTGGATTTCTGCCATGAGCCTATCCTCACTGGCTTGGGCACGCTCAGCAGCTTTCTTTGCCTGTTTCCTGGCCTGTTTCTTTTTTGCCACAGAGGAGCTCGACGATGATGATGGAGACGCAGAAGAAGAGGAAGAACTAGATCTCTTCTTTTTCTTCCTTTTCTTCTCCTTGTCCCCAGCGGCCTTGCTCCTTCGTCTGACATCCTCAGCACCAAGATCGCGCTGACTGCGGTGGCCACCACGTCGGCGCTTGTCACGATCATGGTGAAAGTCCTTCTCAGAGCCGCGCACTGCCACTTCAAGCCTCACGACTTGAGGTTGACCAGAGTGTCTGGCTTGGCCCTGGTCTGGCTGTCTGGGTTCACGGTATCCTCTGCCACCATTGTGCCGGCCAGCACAAGCACAACCGACAAATAGGAGCATCCACCACCACCGCATCGCAAAAGACATGGCCCTGTCTATTGGCAACAGCGGAGGCGAATGAAACACTGAGCACAAAACTTAAGGCGTGAAGCAAGCAAGGAAACCTGCCACCAGCAACTTGCCCGTAAGGGGTTGCTTGCGGTGAGCAACCCGAAAAACTGCACTGCGGAGGTGTTGTTTTTTCCATCCTGCCCTCAAGAAATCACAAAACAACTGCACCATCGCCGCTGCCAAATCTTCAGGCAACAGCTGCATCTCCTGCCAACGAGTGACTCTCCCAGATAGCACACTGAAAGCGTAGGTTTTGCTAGCCGCCCATGGCATAGGTGGCACAAATTGCTTGCGCTTTGCTGTCCAACGCATAGAGGGCAAAACAATAGAAAAATCAAGCCAAGTCAGCGCACCATTATTTCCAGGAACGGTGACCTCAAAGGGCACTGAGTAAGCATGCTGCACCCCTTCTTCAAGGCACCCAGTGCAAAGCGACCTGCTGAACCAAATGAGGTCATCGACATATCGCCCACGAGCAACAGAGTGAGACCACAGCCGATCATCCCACCAGAATTGAGCAACCTGCCGTCTGTTTTGGTCAAAATTCCAGCAATGCTCTTGCCAGCCAAGAACTGTCGAGGCGGCCACCTTCGACAACAATCCCCCTATCGGGAGTCCAGAAAAGGACCATACCTGCGTACCAGTGTATGCAAACCGAAGGGAGCATGCTGCTGCAAATAGCCAATAAAGATCCTCCATGAAGAAAACTCGGCATCTGCGCAAAGATCTGAAGATACAGCCGCCAAGAAACACCACACGACTGCCAACGACCGTGACAGTTGTATGGCCGTTCTTCCGGGCCAACGTCAGTACTTCGTCCAACGCAGAGCAGGCTTCAAAGGCAGACACGCATTCAAAGAACTGGCCCGCATCTGCAGTAATTCCCTGGATTTCTGCACAAGCACCATGACAGCGGTCACACCGCCCTGCTTGTCTGGCAGGAAGCAAGCGCGCCATCTTCCGCTCGAGATCACGACGGGCAGTATTCAATGCCCAAATTTCATCAGTGCAGATAGTCATTTGCAGAATGAAAGTCAAAGCCCTGCCAGCCTGCCGCCACATGCGCCGAGCTGGCCACTTGACGTAGGACACTATCCTGCGCATACACGAATGCCCTGGTTTCTCACAGGAGCGGCGACCGTTGGAAAAACACTTCGGCTTCATGCTGTTGTAGCAGTACGGAAGAAACCATCTGCCTGGCACCACTCCAAATTGTCGACGTAACCTGGCTGGAACAAAAGCTGTCAGCAGGGCAACACACCACGCTTGCGCTTCCTCCACAGACATGTCTACAGCACACCATGCACTAGAGACGCACACAAAAAAGGCCATCATGAGGAAGTAAGTCTTCTTCGGCACAATCCATTTGTACTGTTTCATTTTGTCATCTGGGCAAATCACCTCTTGCTTGCCTGCGGAAAATTGGGAGAAAATGTGCTCGTGCTCTGCTGTCAGTGCCACAACGCGTTGACGATGCATCTTCCACGCTCTTGTTGCTTCCAGCTGTCGCGCTGCATGTCCACGGCACGTCTTAGCCACTTTTGGCGAAAGAAAGGCACCGCACCACCCACGCAAACACTGCTTGACCGAAGACAAGTCATCTTCTCGCGTAGATGGCATAGGCACCCTCCAGTTGGTTTCTACACGCCGGGCGCCAGTGGCACGCACCGCATCTGCCAACTCTGAGTCACTGCACTGCCGGACTTCATCCCAGTCAAAAACTTGCGCTTGTTGAGCGCAATTTTGCTTGTCAGCAAAAGTACGCACCTTTCCCACTGCAATCCGAGTACTCTCCACCACGTAGTTCCGCATCATTTTGTCCCAGCTCGGTTGAGAGGCAACGCCCAACCGCAGTGCTGACTTCACCGCCGGGATGAAGCAACGCTGGGGCACCGTAATGGTGAAGCCGCGTGTAGAAGGGAGCCTTCGAGAATGCAGCAAGTCATCAAACTTTTTCTGGGCCAACTGGAGCCTTCGGCCGACAAGCCAGAGTTTCGCTTTCTTCCAAAGAAAGATTGCTGAACATGGCGAACGCCAATGCTTATCAACGCACGCCCAATGAACACTTGCACCAAAGGATCCTACAAATAAAAGCAATAAACGCCAGTGCCCAGGACTGTAAATGTTGAGGGGACCCAAAACGCCAGATTGCGCAAAGCGATGTTGCTGCACATGTCTGTAGGCAGATCGGAAATCCATCCCCAGCGCTCGCACCAAATCCTGAGGCTCAGCCCGATGGGCATTGTACTGCTGTGCCCTAGACACTCGAGCCAGCGCCTTCTCAAACTGAGCAGATGCGACCCCACCTTCAAAAGTTCCTTCACGCAAATGATGGCCCACATACCCCCTGCAAGATCGGGGAGGTCTATGGCGTGGACGCTTGTTGCAAGTCAGACGCTTTTTGCCTGAGCCATTCGCAGCAGGCTGGTGGCAGCGAATCTCTAACTGCTCAGCAGCATACATCAAAGTCGAAGGGCCAGCTCTTGAAATCAAGAAACCCATGTTGCTCCCACTTGCTTTGCGAAAAAGAACGTACTTCTTCAACTGGGATCCTTTGAGGCTGCGCCTGGACCAATGCAGCAGATGCTCCCACCAACGCAAAGCAGGCCCTGGCATGCCGGGCCGGGATGCACGCTGCAAAGAAGCAACCCCAACATACCTGGAAGGCCCAAGCCACTGATACAAGACCGCACAATTCTGCAAGTTGCACCCATAAGCTTCCAAATCAATGTTTGGAGCCCGAACAGCGAGAAGCTGCAAGTGGACAAATCGGTCAATTGCCTGCCGTCTTTGCGCCAAACTTTGCTCTGGGAAACTCTTGGGCCAGAAAATAGAACGGTGATCTGGGCAAAGTAGTTGGCCAACCTGGTGACTTTGCTGGGTCCTAGCCCTGCCCTTCAGGATCGCCATGCCGTTGGCAACAAACAACCCGGCAAGGGCTCGCAGAGCACCCTCTGGTTTTCTCCCAAAATTCTTCCCATCTAAGAAAAGCCAAGACAGCAAAAAGTCAATTGAAATCTCCAAGCAAGCTAAAACTCGTTGTTTCAGGTGGCAACGCAGCAAGCAATCTGCAACCATAAAAACTGCAGCTGTGCCAATGTGCATGCCTTTCTGTTTGGCGGAAATGTGCTCAAAATTCATCTCAGCAGAAAGCCCTGAAGCCCACATCAAGACGGACCAAAGTCCATCAAGCACCTTATTAGAGATCACATCTATACCGACTGGGGGTTGAACCCACAGAATTCAGCCTGTAGGATATCACATACAGCTTGAAACGCGGTATTTTCAAGTAGAACAATAATCTTCAAAGCTTTTCATCCTATATCTATACATGTATATATATACATATATATATATACACAATACATATAAGTTTCAGAAGGGTGCATAAATCTTGATGGACTGTGGCGAAAGCTGGACCTGTCTGCTAAGGTCAACAGGCTTTGAGGGGGTCCATTGCTCAGTTACGTCACGTTGAGACAATGGTGGTTTGGTGGCCAAAAGACATCCAACGAGTTGGTGTGGAGCAATTGGATGGAGAGAAAAACTAACGAGTTGATCCACCAGAAATGGATGACTCGGATGACCACAACCGAAGCACTGCAGACATCTTGCCGGGGCTTCAGTTGGGATCTGAGGAGAAAGTCCCAGGGTCACTCGGTCGGACGCAGGCGCAGGGCAGGGTAACCGGGCATCAGAGATGCCAGTCCGACTGCTGGCCAAAGCATTGGGGGGTTGAAGTTGAAACAACCAAACATGGGGATACAAATTCATTGAGAATATTTGGTTGTCCAGAAAATAGGGTAGAACCCAAGACCCGTGGTTTTTCCATGGTTTTCCTGGTAGAAACGACCAACTTTGGATGTCCCCATTTTAGCCCATATGCCAGGACTTCCTGATCTCGGCTCTTCTGAATGAAGAGACAGCTCATCCAGGTGCTGAATCTGGTACTCCATCTACTGTGGGTAAAACAATGCCACAAACCATCCCCCAGTCATCACCATTTTCGCAAGTGGTATGTGACTACCATTCCCAGTCATGGGTGGGGCTTATTTTCCATGGTTTTACCCACATTAGTTCGATGATTTTCCCAGCTTGTAGCTCCATCGCCTTAGTGCCTTGGAGGTCACAATGACGGGTCCCATGGCAAGCCACCACTGGCACCAGGCGGGTCCAAACAGGTCTCTTTCAGGTCCTGGTGGGAAATCTCATAGCAGTGACCGCAACGCTGGAAATGAAGAACTTCGAGACTTCTCCATTTTTCTGGATCGAATTTTGGGGGTAAAATGCCAGCATTTTTTGCTGTGAGGTGCCAAACCATCGGTACGCTCGGTGGCTGAAACGGTCGTGGAGGAGCTGGCAGATGGGATCATCCATCCTGGAGTAGATAGAACGAACAAAAATGGGTCACCCGAAGGAAAAAACTCACATCAATCTTGAACTTGGGGAATATTCCATTTGCTGCAAGATGATACTGTACAGGTGTTGGCTTGTATGGAGTCAACCTTCGGGATTAGGTGAATTAGGTGATGCGTATTCCTTTAGCATTCTGTGAGCCGATGAGAGGGAAATAGCACATGTGGATGTATGCAATGCGGCCAATTTTTTGTTTTAGAATAGTTGTTAACAATTACGTAGAGGAAATCTCAATGATCCCCATATCACTGATAACGCAATCCGTTGAAGATTCTTTTGGACAAGGTGAGAACCTAAGGAAACCACTGTGCATGTCACAAGGCTGAAAGCAGGCCACCTATGTCTACGTGTAATGTACCTGGGACCTTAATGACAATTTTCTTGAGGTTTTGATCCATATACTTCTGTCCAACTACGTACGTCAACACGCAGCATTTCCTAGCAACAACAAGACTAGCTGGGCTATGTGCCCAAAACTTTGGCTCTGGAGTGAAGACAGCTTTCCCAGCACGCTGGAGGAGGATGGTAGGTCGGTAACGCCTGAAGGCCAAGCGGTCAAGGCTGGATCGGGGTTTCTGAAAACTTATAGGGGATCCCCAAGTCACCATGGTTGTTTTAATACTAAGTCAGTTACTAAGTCATGGTCATCCATGACGACTGGATGATAAAAAGGGTCGCGAATCCCATCCCACGCAACCATCCCCCTGGATTGGGTTGGGAGGGGATCAGGTTTGTCCAAACATAGTGGACCAAAATGGCCATTTGAGTTGGGAAAATGACTTTCTCAACCACTGGATTTTGGGGTAGACAAGCCCATATGGAGAAAGTAGGACCGCAAGGCCCCCAATTTTCTTGGAGCTTCTGCGGGATCGCACGAAACAACATGTCTTCACCATGAGCAAATGTTCCTACGCAGAACGCCATCCTACTGACGGGGGAACATCTTCTCTAATCGCCTTTAGCAGTTGTGGCTCAAAGAAGTGGTGAAAAGAACTCAGACATCGAAACCAGTTTCACTCCAGCAGCCTGCAGATGGACACATAGAAGATCTTCCCACCTCGAAGATTGCCACCTTGAGAAACTTTCTGCATAGCTCCAGCTCAGCCACTGACGCCATGGCAAAAAGGCCTGGGTGAAGTATCAACACATCATCATGTCATAATGTCTCCATGGTGGTTAAGGGGAACCTCCCCAAATCATCCTATTTCAGTTTTTGTTCAAAATTCAGCCAGAAGAGGTGACGCCAAATCCAGAATTCATGGGGATAGACGGATAGACTCAACTGAGACGGCCAACTGCTTGTTGCATCATGTTACCACGATTCTTTTGTATCTCCAGGCATGTGGGTCCCAGTAAAAAAGGCCAGAAAATTTCCTGTCCACAATCTGACCTATCGGCAGTTCAGGAGAATGTGGACTTAACCAGCGGTGGGATATCCATGATGTGACCATGTGTACCCTCTGGTAATTTAACATAGCTATTGAAAATTGCCATTTACAGTGGATTTACCCATTGAAAATGGTGATTTTCCATAGTTATGTTAAATTGCCAGAGGGTATCTAACTTCGGGTCTCCTTTGGGACCCCCAAATATTGTGCCAACCAACAAAAAAGAATAGGGCACAGTGCGAACCACAGATGGCTAGTGACTGAAACAGACATACTTTCGCCCAACTACATTTATCCCGGTACCCTTCTATGCTCTAGATGATACATGCACACAAATATTATATATACACACATACACAGACATATGATATAGTATACATATGCATATGCATATACACATACATATACGTATACACATGCTCATGCAGATACACATACATATAATTTACATATAGATATACAAAGACATATACATATGCAGACATTTACACATACATATATGCATATATACATATACATGGCTTTGTCGGAAAATGGGTATCAGACTACAGCAAGCCACCACACAAATAAACAGAACATAAGCGAAAATTGCGTAAACATAATTCATAGTGATAAATGGTTCCTTTTCTGCATCTTCTTGGAGGTTACTACATCAGATACCATTTGGTTGTTTAACATAGCTATGGAGAATCACCATTTTTAAGAACCGTCAATCATCATAAACCATCTATTTCTATGGGCCATGGCTTCCATAGCTATCTGTTGCGTAACAGGGTAAATCCAAGTTTTTGGAGTTTTAAATACTATATCTCTATCCCCTACACAAATTATAGCGAGGACAGCCGAGGCAACGAGGCAGGTTGCAGGAATTAGCGAGGTCAGCCCTTAATTTGCTCATCAGAATTAGCCGACCTCGACGAGGTAGCCTTGCATTGGTTCTGTTGCATGCTTGGGCTTTGCTAGAAAAACTTTTTTGGGGGCCAGAGGCCGGTCAGCAGGCAAGGAAGGAAAAACAACTGTTCAGGCCCCAAAAAGTTTTATTTTCTATCGCCAGAGGCCGGTCAGCAGGCAAGGAAGGAAAAACAACTTTTCAGGCCCCAAAAAGTTTTATTTTCTATCGCCAGAGGCCGGTCAGCAAGCAAGGAAGGAAAAAAAACTTTTCAGGCCCCAAAAAGTTTTATTTTCTATCGCCAGAGGCCGGTCAGCAGGCAAGGAAGGAAAAAAAACTTTTCAGGCCCCAAAAAGTTTTATTTTCTATCGCCAGAGGCCGGTCAGCAGGCAAGGAAGGGGAAAAAAAATTCAGGCCCCAAAAGTTTTATTTTCTATCGCCAGAGGCCGGCCAGCAGGCAAGGAAGAAAAAAAACGTTTCAGGCCCCAAAAAGTTTTATTTTCTATCGCCAGAGGCTGGTCAGCAGGCAAGGAAGGAAAAAAAATTTTCAGGCCCCAAAAAGTTATATTTTCTATCGCCAGAGGCCGGTCAGCAGGCAAGGAAGGAAAAAAACTTTTCAGGCCCCAAAAAGTTTTATTTTCTATCGCCAGAGGCCGGTCAGCAGCCAAGGAAGGAAAAAAAACTTTTCAGGCCCCAAAAAGTTTTATTTTCTATCGCCAGAGGCCGGTCAGCAGGCAAGGAAGGAAAAAAACTTTTCAGGCGCCAAAAAGTTTTTTTTCTATCGCCAGAGGCCGGTCAGCAGGCAAGGAAGGAAAAACAACTTTTCAGGCCCCAAAAAGTTTTATTTTCTATCGCCAGAGGCCGGTCAGCAGGCAAGGAAGGAAAAACAACTTTTCAGGCCCCAAAAAGTTTTATTTTCTATCGCCAGAGGCCGGTCAGCAGGCAAGGAAGGAAAAACAACTTTTCAGGCCCCAAAAAGTTTTATTTTCTATCGCCAGAGGCCCGCTTCGTGGGTTGACGGCTGCAGAAGCAGTAGGATTCAGAGTTGCTCCAGAAGAGCATTGCATCTCTGCGATAATGTCAGAGATGTCACCACCCAAGCGCAAGAAGTGCAAAGACCGATCAGACTCAGATTTAAAAATCCCTGCAAGAGACCGTGGATCGTGGAAAGAAACTTTTCGGAAGCTGAAAAGTTTTTTTCCTTGGGGTTGGACCCTGGAAAGAAGGCCCACAAGCTACTTTCTTCCTTCGAATTAACGAGGTAAAGCCTTAATTTGCACCTGCAAATTAACGAACGAGGACAGTAATCATGGGGAACAAATTAAGACACGAGGGAGACGAGGTAAGAATTAAAGTAATTTTCTTGGTGGTTGTCCAATAGGGATATTTAGCATCGGATACAACATAGGATATGTATATATATATATGTATATATATATATACATATATATATAGAATAGTATAATATGTAGAATACAAGATGTACATTATATATATATATGTATATGTATAGAATTACAGATTAGTAAGGGGAATTATCCCCAAATTGCCTTAATTCAGGTTAGTGAAATATTATAATTTAATAATATATATATATATATTCATTCATTCATTAATCTAGGTACATACCCCCCACATGCCCAGATATCCATCACGCTCATCCCCAGCCACAGGGTCTCAGGCTTCGTGGCTAGCTGGACGCAACCGCCTCGTGGGAAGAGGCGGGATGGGAGGATCGGGGTGGGAACCAGTGGGGAAGCAGCAAGAAATGGCGATGTAACCAGGAAAAATGGTGATTTAACCCGGAAAAATACGGTGATTAAACATGATTTAACCATCAAGAATGGGGATTTCTGAGAAAATATTGGGATTTCACCTGGAAAATTGAGCTTTAGTCAGCAAAGATTGGGTTCAACTTGGGTAAAATCTGAAAACTGGGACCCCCAAGTGATTTACCAGCTGCACTGCTTGAGCTGACCAACTTACAATGTCGGCAGTTGTATATCACCGCTGCTCCTGATATTAAACACTCCAAGCACCTGGTTTTGTATTGGACCCAATCACATTCAGATCCTTCGCAGATTCGGCTGCCAAATTTGCTGTTTTATTTGCATTACTTTGTGTAGATTACTCACTGATTAGGATATATATATATATAATAGAAAATATATAATTACATAATACACATATAAGTTATATATATATATATAGAGTTATATATATATAGTGATATATATATATATATACATGTATATTGTATAATATATATATATATACACATTTTGTAGGTATATATCCTGTATATACTGTATATATAATATATAATATATAATATATAATATATGATATATAATATAATATATAATATATGATATATAATATATAATATTTAATATATAATATATAATATATAATATATAATATTTAATATATAATATATAATATATAATATATAATATATTATATATAATATATGATATATAACATTTAATATATAATATATAATATATAATATATAATATATAATATATAATAAATAATAAATAATATATTATACTATGTTATAATATTTTATAATGTATTATATATTATACTATATATTATAACATAATAATATAATACATTACAATATAATATAACATAATATATGACACTATAATATAATACCATAAACGACAATATAACATATAACATATAACATATGATATAATGTAATGCAATGTACCGCAGTATAACATAATATGATATAATATGATATAACACAACATAATATAATATAACACAACATAACATAACATGACATAATATAATATAATACAATATGATATAATATAATATAATATAATTTAATATAATGTAATATAATATAATGATATAATATAATATAATATAATATAATGTCATATAATACTATATCATATTATATTATATATAATATATATCATATATAATATACATAGACATACACATACATACACATATTTCCGGCCCAGTGCTCAGAGCACCCTCCAGCCAGCCAACCCTTTTGCCCCAGGAATGCAGAAGGCTACGGCTTCGTCACCGAAGACGGCCGTGAGTCGGGGAAAGGCGACGGCCGTGACGCCGTGGCTGGACAATCACCGGTGAAAAAATGGAGGTTTCAATGGGGATTTTCTCATCGATGGGTGGATTTTCTCATTGTAATATGGACGAGAGCCTCGAGAGCTGTAAATCTTCCGTTACCAACGTAGATGACGTAGATGAACTGATGAAGATGAAGATACAGTCAATGGGGATGGGTGCAGCTGACCAACAGAACACACACACACATGGTATCATGCACATAGCCCTCTCTCTCTCTCTACAGTATACATACTCGATCATACTCGTATGTACAGAAGTAAGATGAAGAGGGATACAACTACATACGCGAAGGTGGGGATGGGTACTGGAATGATCCTTACAATATTGCAACCGCTGAATTCAATTTGGGAGTCAAGACGAATCGACGCATTGAGGATGAATCATGATGAATCCATCAATCAAGTTTCTCCATTGTTTTCCTTCTTCAGCTGAGGCCATTCAAAGCTAGTCAATGACATCGGAACCCCTTGGGCATTTGAGCAGTGGATCATACGGGTGTGGATCAGGGTCTTCCAGCTTCCAGCTTAATTGAATTCATCTAAAATTTGTTGACATAATGGAGGTACCGAAAAAACATTTTCATCATGACAGTCCATGGTAATGTGCCAAGATTTGGGATTTGTCAGCAGAGTCACGCATGAAAAAAACTGTCCAAGTTTGCCATTCGCGATCGCCAGGGTCCGACCTGTTCCTCTATGCTGATAGCATCAAGGACACGCGTCGACACCGTCGCGCCAGTGTCGCGCCAGTGTCGCGCCAGGTGACCTTTGGGAAGCCACCAGAGGGATGTGGCAGTTCAAGATGTATGATGTAATACGATGTAATATGGTAAGATATTGTTGTTTTCCTTGAAGTTGGGATGTTGGGGATGCCAATGAACCTCCTTGGAACTAATGTGGATCGGGTGCTCAATGAAGAAAGAACGTCCCTTTTGTTGCCGAGTCCGTCTAGGGACGTGGCAGCACCTCGACTGCCAGGACTCGAAGTTAAGAAGCCAAGCAAAGATCTTCGGCCTCAAGAGCGGCACCAAGGCTGTGGCATTGGGGCGGGGCTTGGGGTTTTCAGTATGGGAGGACTCGAGGACCTCCACCTTATTTTTGGCACGCAATGAACAACAGGCCTTGCGTTTGGAACGGGACACATTGGATGAACTTGTGAAACACGAATGCCAACTCAGCTGGGCGGCAGATCATCTTTGATATTGAAGAGCCTAAGAGTGGTCGACATTCGAGACTGGCCGTTGGGGTGCCCGTGGCCAGTGCTTCAGCCTCCACCGCTTAACTGGCTTCAAGGAGACGATCCTGAGTCCAGTTTGCTAAGCCATGGCCTACTTAGTTCGATGAACACGATGAATTACTGCACCCTTCCAGTTTATCATCAATGTTAGTTCAATGGATTACATTATCATGATGATAAACATGGATAACATGGTGATTTTCCAGTTCGCGCTTTGCGTTCGCCAGTGATTCCCCCAAGGTGAACGTATGCCCCGCGGGTGAGGGTTCCAGTGGAGGTGACGATCGAGGTCATGGAGGCCTTGGGATTTCTGGGTGATTTGCTTATTTTGTAAATGGGGTTTGGGATGTAAACATCCTAGGGTTTCGACATATATATATATATATAATCCCCTGGCCAGTTTCCCCTATAGAATTGGGACACCTAGGTGCTGTATAAAACGATTTTTTTTATACAGGTCCCCCCTCAATTTCAGCTGCCCTGTTTGCCTTGTTTTGGTGGGCTTTAATTTTATCTCAAAACCCCGGGTCCTGATTTTATATTTTTTTTTGGTGCCTAAATTTAGTGACCTAGGGCTCAGGATACCACAGGTTCCAATTTTATAGAGGTAAGATATGATAAGATACCAAAGGTTGCAATTTTATAGGGGTCTTTCATGGTCTGTCAAGGTCCTCCAAAGAATCATATCTGAATCTCTTTGATTATCTTTGAAGGGTTCGATTGCTACAAAATTGGGGCCTTACTTTAACTGAGATAAAATTGGGGACCACATAATCGAAGGAAAATAGAGGGCCCCCCAAAATTCGACTTGGGACACCAAATTTTAATACAAAAAACCACCTATGATCAAGCCATTTTGGATGGCCCTAACTTTATAGAGGTCAATTTGGAGCTAATACCCTGCACAGGTTTAACCTGGGCACTGCAATTTTGTAGCGTTTTTGGGTTTGATGACATTGATGGGTTACTAGCAGGTTGTGATTTTATAGGGCTGATTATGTATGTGCCTGTCAGGACTTTAATTTTGTAGAGGGTCCCATTTGAAGGGCATTTTCAAAGGATAGGCCTGGGCCCCCTATAAAATTGAAACCCCCAGGTTAAACCCGTGTATTGGCAAGGGGATTATATATACATATTTAAATCAAGTTAATTGGGTATATATATATATATATATATTGTTGGTTGTTGGGTCTACGAGTCTATCAGAAGTTAAGTTAACAGGGATAGAAATGTAGCAGGTTCCAACCATTTTTCTTCAACCATGCAAGCAACTAGCCCAATTTGAGTTCATCAGTAGGTCAGCAATGCTTGTTTTGATCAATGCCCCCCAACTCTTTGATGCCGTGTCACCCTGGATTGCACAAGCAACAAGTTGAGTCAAAATGGCCTGTGATGACAGCCTCCAGTGGGCCTCATTGGCTGAACCGGTCCTGGAGTTGAGGATCCAGATATCCAGGGAATCCACTGACTTCATATGGCAGTGTGTCAAAACCAATAGTACCCCTGTAGTTCACATCAAAATAGCTGGTAAATGGATGTTCATCCCACTAAAAATGGTATTAATAGGTATTGATCCATACCCATATTAGGACCTTTTTCGGACTTAAAGATTCTCCAGGACCGGACCCGCCCTCTGCCATAAGCCTTACGGCTTCGTCCCCCAGGCCGGAGCCGGCGGTCGAGGCGCTCATCCCGGGATCTGGGGGGCAGGGTGCAACCCGATGGGATGAGTCAACCAAGTAGGGATCTGTTATTCCGAGTGGAAGCCCTGGGATTTTGCCATGAGGATTTTTGCCATGTCCTGGAAGTCCTGGAAACAAGCCATGGGATGAATGATCACTGCAAAGATCAAGAAATTTCTTGTCGATACTTTCGAGTCCTGGTTGGTATGGGTTTGTCTGAAAATGGGGTAACCCACATTTTCATCTTTACTGATAAGAATCTTTATATTCCCATTCATATAGCTTTGTCTGAAACTAGGGTACCCTACAATTCCATGGTTTCTCATCATTTGTTCCGATTAAATCCATTGTTTTCAATCATAGAAAATATGAAATTGTCCAAACTAAAACTTATTCCAATGTTGAAATTGCTATTTAACATATATATGTATATATACAGTAGTCAAACGTGGCATTTTTTCACATCCCCCATGTAAATAGATGATTTTCCCATGGAAAACCTACACATTTGGAGGGGATTTGCCAGCCATTCTCAGCGGCTAGGTCCAGATCGCCACGCTCGCGCACACCGCCCAGGTGTGACGTGACCCTTCCGCGCCAAGTTGAAGATTTGGGTATGGATCAATACCTATAAATGCCATTTCTAGGGAAATGACCATCCATTTACCAGCTATTTTGATGTTTACCAGGGGTACAAGGTTTTGACACACTGCCATTTTGGCCTTTAGTAAACCAAGAGATAGACATATTGGGTTAGTAAGCCTGAAGGATATTAGTATTGGTATACAGTATACTGGTATATGCCCAGAAAATTCCTCAATTGACTTTCAGATGATTGCTGAAACTATGTCGGTATAATCAACAATTAATGGGCTCAATAATTAATGGGCTCAACAATTAATGGGCTGAACCCATCCATATGTTTTTTTTTGTGGCAAACATGTGGATGGGTTGGCACTTGTGATATCGTCTTTGGGGGGATGCACATCCGCTTACCAGCTATTTTGATGTTAAGGTACCGGGGTTTTGACCTACAGCCAAATAATGGTAATGGAAATGCTTTTGTTGAACAAACCACCTAACTATAAAGAATCAAACCTAATTATAAAGAATCTTCGGAGGGAAAGTTTGTTGCCGGGGGAATTCGTTTAGGGACTATTGGAGACCATTGAGATGGTATGGTTTTACGTAGCATAGTATCAAGATGGCTGTTGGTTGAGATTAGACAATATTTCAACATATTGCAAGTCTTGCAACGATTTTGTTCAAGAAGACTGACTACATATTGCCAGCAAAATATCGACTAAAGCCTAAAGAAGCGAGCTGACCCATGTTGATGACATATAGATTATCAAATTTGGTGTCGAGCTCAGAGTAAGAACTCGCAGCCACCCAACCAATCAGGCATCAGCAGGAATTCATCCGGGCTTTGTAATGGGTGAGGAGGATGTCACTATCACCAATTCTTTGTTCAATGGTTTGGCCGATCAAAGTGCCATTGAACAAAGAAACCATTGATGAACCAATTTTGATGAAACATGAAACCATTGATAAACCATTGATAAACCATTGATAAACCATTGATAAACCATTGATAAACCATTGATAAACCATTGATAAACCATTGATAAACCATTGATTAACCATTGATAAACCATTGATAAACCATTGATTAACCACCATTGATTAACCATTGATTAACCATTGATTAACCATTGATAAACCATTGATAAACCATTGATAAACCATTGATAAACCATTGATAAACCATTGATAAACCATTGATAAACCATTGATAAACCATTGATAAACCATTGATAAACCATTGATAAACCATTGATAAACCATTGATAAACCATTGATAAACCATTGATAAACCATTGATAAACCATTGATAAACCATTGATAAACCATTGATAAACCATTGATAAACCATTGATAAACCATTGATAAACCATTGATAAACCATTGATAAACCATTGATAAACCATTGATAAACCATTGATAAACCATTGATAAACCATTGATAAACCATTGATAAACCATTGATTAACCATTGATAAACCATTGATAAACCATTGATAAACCATTGATTAACCATTGATTAACCATTGATTAACCATTGATTAACCATTGATTAACCATTGATAAACCATTGATAAACCATTGATTAACCATTGATTAACCATTGATAAACCATTGATTAACCATTGATAAACCATTGATAAACCATTGATAAACCATTGATAAACCATTGATAAACCATTGATAAAACATTGATTAGCCATTGATTAACCATTGATAAACCATTGATAAACCATTGATAAACCATTGATAAACCATTGATTAACCATTGATAAACCATTGATAAACCATTGATTAACCATTGATTAACCATTGATAAACCATTGATAAACCATTGATAAACCATTGATAAACCATTGATAAACCATTGATAAACCATTGATAAACCATTGATAAACCATTGATAAACCATTGATAAACCATTGATAAACCATTGATAAAACCAGTGATAAAACCATGATAAAACCATTGAATAAACATTGATAAACCATTGATTAAAACCATTGATTAACCATTGATTAACCATTGATTAACCATTGATTAACCATTGATTAACCATTGATAAGCCATTGATTAACCATTGATTAACCATTGATTAACCATTGATTAACCATTGATTAACCATTGATTAACCATTGATTAACCATTGATTAACCATTGATAAACCATGGATTAACCATTGATAAACCATGGATTAACCATTGATTAACCATTGATAAGCCATTGATTAACCATTGATAAACCATTGATTAACCATTGATTAACCATTGATTAACCATTGATTAACCATTGATTAACCATTGATTAACCATTGATTAACCATTGATTAACCATTGATTAACCATTGATTAACCATTGATTAAACCATTGATTAACCATTGATTAACCATTGATTAACCATTGATTAACCATTGATTAACCATTGATTAACCATTGATTAAACCATTGATTAACCACTGATTTAACCACTGATTAACCATTGATTAACCATTGATTAACCATTGATTAACCATTGATTAACCATTGATTAACCATTGATTAACCATTGATTAAACCATTGATTAACCATTGATTAAACCACTGATTAACCATTGATTAACCATTGATTAACCATTGATTAACCATTGATAAACCATTGATAAACCATTGATTAACCATTGATTAACCATTGATTAACCATTGATAAACCATTGATTAACCATTGATTAACCATTGATTAACCATTGATTAACCATTGATAAACCATTGATAAACCATTGATTAACCATTGATTAACCATTGATTAACCATTGATAAACCATTGATTAACCATTGATTAACCATTGATAAACCATTGATTAACCATTGATAAACCATTGATTAACCATTGATAAACCATTGATAAACCATTGATAAACCATTGATAAGCCATTGATAAACCATTGATAAACCATTGATTAACCATTGATTAACCATTGATAAACCATTGATAAACCATTGATTAACCATTGATTAACCATTGATTAACCATTGATTAACCATTGATTAACCATTGATAAACCATTGATTAACCATTGATTAACCATTGATTAACCATTGATAAACCATTGATTAACCATTGATAAACCATTGATAAACCATTGATAAACCATTGATAAACCATTGATAAACCATTGATAAACCATTGATTAACCATTGATAAACCATTGATAAACCATTGATAAACCATTGATTAACCATTGATTAACCATTGATTAACCATTGATAAACCATTGATAAACCATTGATAAACCATTGATAAACCATGGATAAACCATGGATAAACCATTGATAAACCATTGATAAACCATTGATAAACCATTGATAAACCATTGATAAACCATTGATAAACCATTGATAAACCATTGATAAACCATTGATAAACCATTGATAAGCCATTGATTAACCATTGATAAACCATTGATTAACCATTGATAAACCATTGATAAACCATTGATAAACCATTGATAAACCATTGATAAACCATTGATAAACCATTGATAAACCACTGATAAACCATTGATAAACCATTGATAAACCATTGATTAACCATTGATAAACCATTGATAAACCATTGTTCACTATCAATTCAAATGACACCATTGACCCAAAAAAAACGGGCCTTGCCTCAGGCGCAGATCACCCACCCCTCGGTCTGGGCATCTCAGAGAAGTTCTTTTCGTATCCCGTTGGAGGGGGATTTTTAGTACCAATGGACTTGATGAAAAGGTATTAATTGATATTAATGGATGTTCATCCCCCCAAAAATGTATCGGTATTGACCCATACCCAACTATGAAAAATGCTGGTGTATTTTTAGTCTAGTGAGATTTTAGTTGGATATTGGGGATGAAAAGCACCACTTCTATGGGGATATCGTGGGATATAACGGGATATTTTAGCAACAATAGTGAAAGTACATGAAAGTACCATCCCCCAACAGTCATGGTTTGCCCATGAAATGTACTGTCCCAACTTTGGGTGGTGAGGTGAGTAGCCAGGCATTTGAAAATGGTCAAGATGCTCACCAGGTCCAAAGCATGTTGGAGTAATGGCCACCACAAGGCACACAAGTTGTTTATGAGTTTTTTTCTATGTGTATACTTTGTGTACAATTAAGTGTGTGTATATATATATATACATACATACATACCGTACATATGATCACATATATATATATATGTATATATATATATGATTATATATGTATAGCTGACCATAAATATATATATATATATACACATATATATATATATATATATGGTCCCGTGTCCCGTGTTCCCACCCCCCCCCCCCTGGGATGGGGGGGGGTATGATGCCCCTGTGGTGGTGTATATACATACATACATACCTACATACCTACCTACCTACCTACGTACATACATTAACATACATACCATCTTACCTTATTACATTACCAATACCTTACCTTACATTACCTTACCTACCTTACATTACCTTACCTTACCTATTCCATACATACATACATACATACATACCTACCTACATACATACTACATACCACATACCAACATACCAACATACCACCACCACAGGCCACAGGGGGGGGGGGACCAGAAGAACCATACCACCACCACAGGCCAAGGGGGGGGGGGACCAGGGGGGGGGGGGGGGGAAAAGAACAAACCATACCACCACCACAGGCCACAGGGGGGGGGGGGGCAGAGAACCAGACGATACTGCCCACCCATACCCATTGGTGGGGGGGGAGGGGGGGTGGCCAACGCTGCACCATATATACATATACATATATATATACATATGTATGTGTATATATATATATGCTATATGTATGTATATATATATATATTTATATATATATGCAGACACACACACAAAAGCATGTGTACGCAGTTTCATCAAAAGAAGTCTTGGGCGGGCCGCAGCCTCGCCCATTGCACCACACTGACTGCTCAGTTCCTGAGGCGGCGGCCGCCGCCATCCAGGCTTGGGAGTGGATGGTGGTTTCAGGGTCAGGGGGTGTGAAACTAGCAACAATCAAAACTATGCGCATACTGTATATATATATGTATATATAACATATATATATAACATATATATATAACATATATATATATATAACATATATATATATAATATATATATACAATGATACCAGTATATGTATGTATGTCTATATTGCTATGTCACCCCTATGTCTATCTGTGTTTATATTTGTACAATCTATTTGTATATATATATATATATACATACACATACATATATATATATATATACATGCAATGCATACACATCTACGGAGATAAAAGTCCGGTCCTTGACCATGATCCGTTGGGCGTTACCGTATATAACCAGGCTTCCACCTGACGACACCAAGGCGCCGCAGCGACTCACGTTGATCGTGCAGGAGATGGCGGGATGGACAATGGTTGGCTATGAAAAATGGATGAAGATGGCCCCATGGATGATAAACATGATGATTGACCGTTCTCAAAAATGATGATTTTCCATAGCTAGGTTAGAGTAACAGAGTAGTTTGTTTTTTGGTTGGTTCAACTCCATGTTTTTGCTAGTAGTTTTATGTAGTTTTTATTAAGCTTGTGAACGTCTTGTTCTTAAGTTAAAGTTGTTCGACCGCTGGTGTGTTGGTCGAAAACCGTTTAGCATCTAGGCTCAGACCTCCCAGGGGTGATGCCGGAACTTGGTTTCTAGAACCAAAACCGACTGGGCCATGTCGTTGGGGAGAACACCCCTACTAGAGACCTTTGAGGTTGCTCGATCATTTTCATGTGTGAAACAGATATGTCCCTGCATCCGAGTTTTCACTGCTGAATTTGAGCAAAGGGCTGTGAGGACAATGTCCAATGGATCCGTGACTTTGGTGGGAAAGCTCAAGAAGGACGGGATGTGCAGCCATGAAGGTTTTGGAGGTATGAGTTTCTCAGTCTCAAGATGTGCGCATGATATCGAAGCATGGTATGACATCAAGGTCAGTATGAACCAGTGGACCCATGTGATTTCGAAGAGTGACAGTTTCATTGCCATTCATGCATCCATTCATGAGGGTGTGGTGGACACTACAATGGGCAACTCGGGAGTCATTTGTGCTCCTTCTCAACGGGTTGAGAACCCAAACCAGTCTATCTACACCACATGCGAATTCTTTTCCGGAGGATTCAGTGGCTGGTCACATGTTTTGCGGATGCTGACAGATATGGGCTATGAGTTCAATCACAGAATTGCGGTGGATTTTGACCCAGTTTGTGCAGAAGCATTTTGTCGGTCACATGGATTTCGGGATACAGTGGGTCCTGAGGTCATGAAATGGGAATCTGATGAATTACCAGAACGACTTTTCATCGAAGGGGACATGCTTGATCCAAGATGGTATCATCTTTTGGGTGATGAACGTTTTGACATTGCTGTCCTTTCACCTCCATGCCCACCGTGGTCCAAAGCGACATCATGCCCAGGACTTATGAAGCACGAAGGTCGTTTGACGATTTTTGCATGGGCACTTTTGCAGCTGATCAGACCGAAGACAGTTTGCATGGAGATGGTTGGCAATATGAGGCGGCACGAACATTGGTCTATTATCAAGATGATGATTTTGTGGTCTGGTTACAGTATCCGATATGCTCCAATCCTCAACCTTGCTGAGTTTACGCCTCAGCACCGAGAAAGGCTTATTGTTGTGGCTACTTTGGATGCAGAAGATCTCCAACCACACATCTGTCAAGCATGGCCAGCGACACAGAGGCAAACTCTTGAGACTTTCCTCAATGTGATGCGATTGGAAGAGCCATGGAAAACGCAGTCTTCCATTGAACCAAATGTGCTGCAGATGTATCTTGACCCTGCGTTACTCCCCAAGTCGGGCAATGAGGGTCCCAGAGCTCCCAAGAAGACCAAGGTGGATGTGGAGAGTTATCGTATTCGACATGTCCAAAGTGTTTTTGGTTGCATCATGGCTTCCTATGGAAGTGGCCATGAGTTACCGGATCTCAATTTGCGCCGTTTTGGACTCTATGGAACATTACTGGCGCAAGCCTCAGGATTGAGATTCCTATCAGTGCCGGAGATTGCAATCGCTCATTCAGCCCTGATGCCATTTTGGTTGCCACCAGATTGCAAGAGCGCAATCAGGATTCTGGGCAATGCAATTTCCATTCCACATGCGATGGTGGGGATCCTGAATGCGATGGCCTTCTTGTCAGGTTTCACAGGAGTTGAGATTCAAGAGATCATGTTGGAGGTCATGACAAAGAGATTCACCTCACAGAATTTGTGTTGGGAAAGGCGCTGGGGAGGATTTTCTTTCACCAAGGACGAGGATCAATGTCAACCCACTCAAATGATGCACTCTTACCAGAAGGTGACGGTGTTTTGTCCGACTGATCGATTCATCTTTCATGCAGAGAAGGAAACATTGGTTTGGGATGCTCTTCGGGTCTTGACTGGCCCATCGATTCCAGCAGAAGTATCTCTCATGCCGGCAGGCGTTTTGGAAGCAAAGGTCACATTACCTTCGAATTTCGAGGTGTCTGATCAGGAAATTTTTCTATTTGCTCCTGTACCTTCCGTGCTTGGTATTGGGTCACAGAGTTTTGCAGTGGGATCGCATCAAGCTTCTTGCATCGCAGTATTGACACGGTTGGGAACTTTTGTTTTGAGACGGGATCAAGGGATGACAGTGGCGGATGTTATCACTATTCTCAACCATCACATGGGTTACAGGTGCACTCACTTGGTTGGTATGCTGGGTGAAAGACATCAAGAGCAGACCTTGTGCCCCAATGCAGTGATTGCCAGAGACAGGGAATCTACATCCGACAATTTACAAGTTTTCGACTATGTCGGCGTCAATGTGGATGATGGGATCATCAGTTTCTCATCTTCCCATGAGGCCTTGAAAGAATTTGTGGAATTTTTGCAGGACACGGGGCTCCTGGAAATGATGCCAGCCCTTGGATGGGACTTTGTGACAGAGGCAGATTCACTTATTCAGGGCAGGACGGAGAAGATCTTATTGATGCGCAAACCGTCAATGCTGGCACTTTCCACAAACGAAGCAGTCTTCAGTGTTGCGATTTACCTGTTCCTCCTCAAGATCAAGACATGGAAATCAGCAGGATCGGAACCCTCCATACGATGCCGGATCAAGCTATGGCATGTTTGGATATGGGATGCCATGGTTGGTAGAGATGTGACCATGACACACTTCTCAGAAGAGTGGGACAAGATTTGCGCTATGTTTCAGCTGGACAAGCCTTGGCGATTCATTGCACAAGGGAGGAGCCTGAACCCCCAGTGGCCTTTGGGTTCATTTGCAGAAGTTGACAATGAAGGCGCAACATCCATCACTGTCTTTATGCAGCTTGGCTTGAAAGGCGGCGGCCCAGTTAGGCTCAAAACAGGTGATCAAGTCTCACGGCAAGGGAATTTGAGAAACCTGGCGGAGTTCGAGCAGGGCAACTTCAAGGCAGCTCTTGGGCATGTTCTGCAGATGGTCGTGGATCACAAGGGCACAATTTCCAAATGTGACATCTCGAATTTTCTGGACCTTGAAGCAAAGGCACAGGATGGATACTATGTCATCAAAGGGAGGTTCGACAATTTGAGACAGTTTCTCCACACTTTGAGAGAATCCGGAGTTGAACATGCCTTGACCAAATGTGGTTGGATGGTCACGTGTCACTTTGTCAACATCTATGAACCTATCAAGGCAGACATCATTTTGTTCCGGAAGCCACTGGCCACAGCAGTGTCGGCAGAATTTGTGAGGGCCCTGTTGCGTTCCAGCCTGGTTTGCATCGGCATGCCAAGACCAGTCAAATCCGATGACAGGAGTGTTTTGGCAAAGATCAAACTTTGGGGCACAGTCATTTTTCATGGTCACCTGGACAGGAACATGCAAATGCAGGATTTGATTGACGTTTGGGAGCAAGCATCCACAATTGTGTGTGACATGGTTCCTGTACGTTTGGTTGGTACTTCAGGTTACATCAATCCAGACTACCCTTTGAGATATTACACGAGATGTGATGAGAACAATCAGACGGTGGCCACCATCAGTTTCATGATTGGGCTTCATGGAGGAGGCTACGTTGACAAACAGCCAAACAATCCACAGGAGTACATCACGCAACAGCGAAATGCCTTGGCGACTTTTCTCATTTCTCAGGGAGCGGATATACAGGGATGTTTGAAATTTATCGAGGCTGCGGTACATGGAGCCGGCCCAGGGGTGATTGCCTCTATCCTGGGCCAAAAACAGCCGGCCAAAAGGTGGGATGGGCTCATTCAACTAGCCTCAGCCCTTCATATCCAGATCCCGGACATAATGAGCAGAATGAGTAAAGCAAGAGACAAGGTGCAAAACAGGTTTTCGCAGCAGAACAGGCAACCACTCAGGGATATTCCAGTTGATGCTTTGACATTGCAGTCTGGATTCATTTGCAATGAGGACGGAACGGCATGCAATCAGATACCGAAGTTAGTCCCCAACTCCACAGGTATCGTGCTCATGGATGAACAACAGGCTTTGCCATGGCTGCAGGAGCGTGCAGTCATCAGCCAGGACGAGTTGGCTCTGGCGGTGATAGGTGGCCAGGGACTTTGCGATGGATTTGAGGGCCAGAAGGTGAGGATTCCAGTCTCCCACAATGGGGAACCACTGATACTCCAAGCATTGCTCTTCAATCTCGGAGCAAAAGAGGCCACTATGTCTCAAAAGGACTTTGACATGATTCCGGCTTCAGATTCACAAGTCATTGCAGTCACGGCTTATCAGGATGAAGTGGACGCAGATTCCTGGGCTGCTTTTGTGCAATCACCGGTGAAGAATATCATGAAGGTTTTGCTTCCAGATCAAAATGACTACAGTTTTTTGTCGTCACCCTGGGGTCGTTCCTTTCAAAAAGCGGGAAAAAAATCAGAGCCGAAGTTTGCCACCTCGATTCAATTCCATGCTAGGGTGCTCAAGTCTGATTTGCGGATGTTCTTGAAGGCATCAGGAGCGTCTGGAATTTACACAGTGCCGAAGTCAGAAGACCGACGGATCTTGTCGGACTACCAAGTGGTGTGGTTACAACAGACAAAGGTCGAACTTGCAGTCTCGTTGTCAAGATGTGACAATCATTGTGGGATTGTGCGTGGTCAGAAGAGCGATGGCAAAGGAAGAGGCATCCGTTTTGCAAGACAAGATTTTGTTGCCGCCCATGCATTACTGAAGCCAGACGCACCATCACCCAGTCAGGTCATTTCAAACTATTTGTTCAAAGTGGCACCTACTCCCGTTGGAACGACATTTGAACAGATTCAGGCATGGCTTGCAGCACAGACATTTGAGGCGAAACCCATTCGAGCTTTATCCAGTACGATTTGGCTATGTGGGACA